GAAGAAGAAGAAGAAGAAGAAGAAGAAGAAGAAGAAGAAGAAGAAGAAGAAGATAATCACCTGTCCAAGAAAGAGGCAAGCGGCAGTGCTGGTCGTCTCGGCGGCTGTGGTTGCCATGGTGAAGGACATGACCTTGGCGATGACGTTGATGATCATTTGCATGGCGCCCAGGAAGTACAAGATGGAGATAACTGAGCTCAGGAACACCATGACTGGCATCATCTAGGAGGGGGAGGAGGGGGTGAGGAGGGGTAGTTGGGAGGAGGGCGGAGGATGGGGAATTGATTGATTGATTGATTGATTGATTGATTGATCGATTGACTGATTGAGTTACTGGTGGATGGATGGATGGATGGATGGATGGATGGATGGATGGATGGATGGATGGATGGATGGATGGATGGATGGATGGATGGGTTGTTAATGACTTAATTAATTACATAATATGGTTGGTTAATTAACTGAATTATTGTGCTATTAATAACTTAATTTCATACAAAAGGAGAGGGATGATTGAGTTAATGAGTTGTGAAGTTGTTGATGGGATAACACGACTATATTAACTGCCCTGTGAGACGAAGGTCGCACAATGTGTAACTCCCTGAGCTTTTGCAGGTATACGAGAGGAAGAAGACACGGAGACACCAAGAAATCTCCTTTAGTTTCATACCAATTCTTGCTTTCGCAACGGCAATTCAGGGCTTTCGAACTGATCTGAGCAGACTTATGTCAAAACCTGAAAACAATGGAGCTAGTGCAAATTAACCCTAACCGTGCGTCATAGATGTGAATGTTCCAGAATATCGTAATATTATTCTAAGGTAAACATGCATAAAAGGATATTGACGATCAACTCTACTCTTCGGTTATAAATGCTAGACAATTACAACAGGCAGTAAAGATAATTATAATAGAAGCAACAGAAATGTGGTTTCTCTGGACATTTTTTAGATATTTATTGACAGAAAAGATATCAAACAAAGAAGTACGTAAATGAAGCCATTTCGGATTGGCTGGTCAGGAGGCAGAACAATTAGGAAGTGACATATGCTTTTATAGGATTTTTGACTCAACATAAAGGCTTTGAACATCTTGCACGTACTGGAAAAATAGAGGGGGAGCGAGGGGGGGGGGGCAGACCCAGAGAAACTCATTTGAAAAACCTGAACGGATGGGTCACAGAGTGACACCAGGATAATAATCAATGTTATAGAATTTTGAGAACAACTGATCAGAGATTGGAGAACCATGACTGGTGATGCCTCTCTGTTTCCGATCCGACACTTTTATTTTCAGTTTTAATGTCAGTGAATTATATTCCAGTCGTAAAAGATGGGAGCTGGAATAAAATGACATTTAAATAATTTTTCGGAACACAGGTATTAGTTAGTCATTACTATCTTGGGCTCAAATGAAAGACTTTTCAACTGCCTTGACAGCTGTGACAAAAAAAAAAAATCAAACGTGGAATACTGTGGTTAGCACAAAAATGTTATTCTGTCTAGCTTGCGCTATTTTGGTTGCCTTCTGTGACGTCATTGGTCTTATACGTTTGAGCCATGCTGCTGACCTTTTGGGCTGGGTTTTTTTGGGTTTTGTTTTGTTGGGGTTTTTTTTGCTTTTCTTTTTTCTTTTTCTTTTTTGCTTTTGAGGTTTGACAAAAAAATAAAAAAAGAACATTCTCAGCTACTTATAATTGAGGGTGTATGTCATTCATAAAAAAACCCAAATAAGAACTGTTCGTATGTATTCATTGGTATCTTTTTACATATGAAGATTACTTTATAGAGACCTTTGTAATGTTTTGCTGGAAGAAAAGGCTTTTAGAAGATATAATATTTAATATTACTTGGGGGAGGAAAAAGAGAGAGGGAGGATAGGAGGGGATGTGGGAGTGGGGTGGGGGTGGGGGGAAGTACATGACATTAGCTAATAACATATCCCACTTGGTGATTATATTATAGGACATTTTAAGGGTGGAGTCTGCGGATTTTTTCAATAGGTTTGCTTGCTGGTGGGGGGAGAGAGAGAGAGGGAGAGAGAGAGAGAGAGAGAGAGAGAGAGAGAGAGAGAGAGAGAGAGAGAGAGGGGGGGGAGAGGGAGGAGAAAGAGAAAGCTTCGGAGACACAGTTCCATAATATAGTGCGTTTTGTTTTTCCTACAACTGTGCAATCTAATTTACTCATAACTTTGTCCAGTCTTCACGATGCGCTTTTGTCTTTTTGACTTTTTGTTGTAAATGTTTTATTTCTTTTTGCTTTTAAAACCTTTTGGGTTTTTTCTGTTTAATTTTTGCTACTTTTATTTATGTTATTTATTTTTTAAGGAGAGACATTTCCGGGAGGAAGTAGCCCAGACGATATAGGAGCCGCGTCCATTTTGAGCAGTCGTTTACCGAGAGCAGGCAATTACAGGTTGGTGGTGGCGGGCCATTTACCTGAATGTGAGGCCTAGTCTTGTACAAAAGGTATTTGTATTCACGGGGGGACAAAAAAGTCATTGGAAAAAAAGCTCTTTTTTTTCTTTTGCTTTCATCTCTCTTCCTTGTCTCCCCCCTT